TAAAGAGTCAGATGTATTCTGTTATCTATTACATTGTGGTTTGAAAGTTAGATATCCCAGCTTTAAGGTCAGTTTATACAAGTTTCAGCTGTGTTCATGCGCTCTGTGGTATAAATCCGGATTTTCCTCCTTTCAAATAAACCCAAACTATTCATAAATGCTGATGCAGATTTGTGGTCCTCCAGGGGTAACTTTGTAACAGTGGAGTTTGTCATTGAAAGATAATCTGATAATCTGTTTGTCATTTTTACTCCGGGGGCTTCAGTGATGAATAAACATTCAAACAGCAAAATGCACAGAGCTGTAGTCAAACTCAAAAGTGGAGGAAAGCGGAGATTAAAGTGAAATGAAACATACTGCAACTTCAAAGAGAACCGCAGATTTACCCCAGATTGTTACAGTATCAGGCTTTGGCAGCGGAAAGTCTTAAAAACGTTTGATAAAAAGAAAGGTTTTATTGGACAAATAGCTGAAAAGAGGATGCACACATTACACACTTAACCACTGATTCCGTTTTTTGTGAAGATATATGGTTTAATAAAGAATGGCATGTATCCTGTGGTCCTAACTCAAAAGTGTTACCTTATCTGTTAAAGCTGGGATACCTAACTTTATTTTTGTCATCACCAACAATATCTTATTATTTAGCTACAAAAAAGTATTTGTGTAAGAAACATTTGTAAACAAAACATGCCATCTTCATTTAAATAATAAAGTAAAAAACATGCTATCTTTAAATACTGAGAGCTGATTGGCTGAGTGAGGGTGGTCTGCTATTTTCAAGTTTCGGTTCATAAAGTCTGATGTAAACATGTGACAGAGGTCAAAATAAATGCATGTGAAAAGACAGGGAATGATTGCAGGTTTATTTATTTTTATTTATTTCAACCAAATTGTCACATAGCCAGGAACTATTGGAAAGATTTCACACCACATCATAGTTCATAATTTGTAGTTAAAAGTTTTGGCGCCCCCAAACTTTTTAAAATTACAAATCAAAACCTACCTTTTTAAATCGTCTTGTAAATTGTAGTATTTTAAAAGTACAATATTTTATTCTGTATTATTTCATATTTTGTGTTATGCTTTTTAAGGCGTCCGAGGGTGTCTTAAAAAGCAGAATTAAATTTAAAAAATACATATTATTAACAAATGTTTTATGGCCTATTTCGCTTTGCCTTCAGTCGCTCTCATGTAACTTATTTTTAATTTTTTTACTTCTACCCGAGCGACAATAACGCTACTTTTCCTAATCGTGGAGCCCAATTGCAAAAACAAGTTCTTTCTCTGTGCCGCTGCATTGAGAATGAAGACACGCTCACACTGTGGATGTGGCCTGATAATCCTCTGATGTTTTCATTTGCACCTGGAGCTCAGCCAGTTCAGAGGATTGGGTCAGACACTACAGCTCTGCGGAGATGAGACACGTGTTGCTGCAATATGGTCCCAGCCAGAAACATACAGACTTGCACCGCAGACCTCCGCAGAAACTGTTACAGATATTACAGACATTACTATTACTAATACAGAATACTATTGCATTGTAACATGTCTTTTTCTCTGGGCTTTCTCCGGTCTCTCTTTCTTGTCTCTCTCTCTCGGATCTCGCTCTGTCTCTGGTCTCTCTCCCCCTGATCTCTCTCGCGTCTCTCTCTCTATCTGTTCTCTCTCTCTGGTCTGTCTAATCCCTCTCTCTGGTCTCTTTTTCTAGTCTCTCTCTCTCTGGTCTCTCTGATCTTGCTCTCTCTCTGGTCTCGCTTTCTGGTCTCTCTCTCTCTAGGCTCTCTCTTTTCTCTCTCTCTGATCCCTCTCTCTGGTCTCTCTCTCTGATCTCTCTCTCTCTCTGGTCTTGCTTTCTGGTCTCTCTCTCTCTGATTTCTCGGGTCTCTCTCTCTGGTCTCTATCTGTTCTCTCTCTCTGGTCTCTCTTTCTAGTCTCTCTCTCTCTGGGCTCTCTCTGGTCTCTCTATCTGTTCTCTCTCTCTGGTCTCTCTAATCCCTCTCTCTGGTCTCTTTTTCTAGTCTCTCTCTCTCTGGTCTCTCTGATCTTGCTCTCTCTCTGGTCTCGCTTTCTGGTCTCTCTCTCTCTAGGCTCTCTCTTTTCTCTCTCTCTGATCCCTCTCTCTGGTCTCTCTCTCTGATCTCTCTCTCTCTCTGGTCTTGCTTTCTGGTCTCTCTCTCTCTGATCTCTCGGGTCTCTCTCTCTGGTCTCTATCTGTTCTCTCTCTCTGGTCTCTCTTTCTAGTCTCTCTCTCTCTGGGCTCTCTATCTGTTCTCTCTGGTCTCTCTCTCTATTCTCGCTCTCTTTTTCTAGTATCTCTCTCTGGTCTCGCTCTCTCTGGGCTCTCTCTTTTCTCTCTCTGGTCTCTCTCTATGTTCTCTCTCTCTGGTCTCTCTCTCTGGTCTCTCGCTCTCTGTTCTCTCTCTGGTCTCTCTCTCTGTTCTCTCTCTCTGGTCTCTCGCTCTCTGTTCTCTCTCTTTTCTCTCTCTGGTCTCTCTCTGTTCTCTCTCTCTGGGCTCTCTATCTGTTCTCTCTCTATGGTCTCTCTAATCCCTCCCTCTGGTCTCTCTTTCTAGTCTCTCTCTCTGATCTTGCTCTCTCTCTGGTCTCGCTTTCTGGTATCTCTCTCTCTCTAGGCTCTCTCTTTTCTCTCTCTCTGGTCTCTCTCTCTGGTCTCGCTTTCTGGTCTCTCTCTCTCTGATCTCTATCTGTTCTCGCTCTCTGGTCTCTCTTTCTAGAATCTCTCTCTGGGCTCTCTCTGGTCTCTCTCTCTGTTCTCACTCTCTGGTCTCTCTTTCTAGAATCTCTCTCTGGTCTCTCTTTTCTCTCTCTGGTCTCTCTCTCTGTTCTCTCTCTCTGGTCTCTCTCTCTGGTCTCTCGCTCTCTGTTCTCTCTCTGGTCGCCCTCTGGTCAGTGGCTCTCAATAAGACATTGCTAATCTAAGCTTCTTGCTTCAGCCCACTCATTTTGAGCAGAATGAATACTGTTTATATTTTGATAATAACTGAATAATAAACACACAATAAAACACATCATATTAGTGGTGTTTGTTGGTGATGATGGCGGCTCTGGTGATGCACAAATAAGTAAAAACTTGCTGCCTTTTCATGTTACACTTATGAAACCTTTTATTAGACTGCAAAAAAGACATTCAACCACTTGGCAGAGAGGTGCAAAACATACTGTGAATGGTTTTGCGCACATGTAGGTGGCTTTGAAACACAAACACATCTTTTCATGATGTCCCGATTGCTCTGGTCTGGCCTCTTTTTAGGACTCGCAACAAGCTCAACAAAAGTCCCCATTGTCCACAAGCAAAAGCACATATGGTGCTCACAAAAAGGCCATTCACCAGTGAGACAAAGCAAGTATTTTCTAATCATTTCCGATATATATTTTGAACAATATTCCACCGACAAGAGCAGAGAAAGCCACAGTTACATCTCATGGGGAAAAATAGATCTTTTGGACATTTAAAAAGACACTCAAAGAACAATCACGACAGTAGGTGACACAGCAAGTCATTTGATGTGCCCCTGAAAACATTCAGAGCTGTCCACCACCCCCCTCACATAAAGTCCTTCTCTGGTAATTGCACATTTGAATGGCTTTTATGCTTTTGTGAAAAAATAAACAATATCTGAAAGTGTGCTCTGTAGTTGTGGTTCAATTGCAAACAAATATTTAGATTTTCAGTGGTCAATCTATAACTTACATTGAACAAAAGTAGTCCCTTATGTCCAGTTGTTCTTTTCCTATAAAGATTGTAATGCTTTGCTTAGAACATTCCACAATATAACTGTACACTTTTGGCTGGGATCGAATTCATGCAAGTAATTTCTCTACAGAAACGGTGCATTTATGTAACTTGTATAACTGGGTCCACCAAACAAGATGTTATTGCTTTGCCTGGAATAACACATTATTATCTACAGATGTTTTTATGGTTTGCTTAAAAATACCTCATTTGGGTTGACCAGTGAGTAATTCTTATCTCTTGTTGGTTTTTAATACAGATGAATACAGGTAATATAAATACTGTAGCTAATTCCAGGCAAAACAACAACATTTAAATGAAGACAATCCAGTGGCCAAACCCTCAACCAGAAAAGTTGGATATTTTTTGTAATTGTATTCTTTCAGTAAAACCATGATAAAATAACGAAACCGAATCCCATCTCAAGATTGCACAAAGCCCACTATTGCATCACTCCTTGTTATGAGTCCAAGCGCGGCTCAGTTCAATCTCAGTCTTAACCTGCGCTGAGCCGATGGTTTAAGCAAAATCTGCTTTTGACGTGGCAGCTGCTCCAGGGGCAGAGAGAGAGAGAGAGAGAGAGAGAGAGAGAGAGAGAGAGAGAGGGAGAGAGAGAGAGAGGGAGAGAGAGAGAGAGGGAGAGGTATTAAGCATAGATTTTCCAGAATAAAACAGCTTTATAATCTCTCCAACCGCGTCACCATTGGCAAACCGTTACGCAACGTCTATACCGCCAGACATACCGTGCATTGTCATAATTCAGTTGACTACCTTTTTCATTTTCATGCATGATATTCCGGCCTCAGAATATCCACGTCTAGTCCCGGGCTGAAGTTCCCTATACCAGGCGCCAGGCTTCTTCAAACGCGACCAAAGCTCACAGCGTGTAATACCAGAGCATGTAACTCAAGAATAGTGATCCTCGGCACTTCAAAGCCCCGCGCTCCTGCTCCTGCTATGAATACAGTGCAGCATTGTCAGTATAAAGAATGAAAGAGGCGGGCTTTTTTTTTTCAAATTAGGATTCTGTGAAAGAAAATCCGGAGAATGCAAAACGATCACGGCATACAGTGTACTCAGATACGACCGCACGTTCTCTCGAAAGACTTTGCCTTTAGGACGAAGCTGAAATAACACACATTTTTCACCATTTTTCAGTGTAGCAGCAGTAGACAGGAAAATCACTGTGTTTTTTGCGTTCCCCACTTGGCGACGCTTGCTTTGTGGTCCTCGTAAGGCTCCATTAGGAGTCAAACGCCCGTTCTTCACAGATCTCCAGAGGGGCTTTGCTGGCGCCTCCGAACACTTCCACGTTGGCGTCCACCCAGGGCACCACGTTCCCGGGCATGTACGCGGAGCAGTTGGCCAGGCCCACAATGTCCACCGGCCTCAGCACCCGGTCCCACATGTTGAACTGGCTCAGCTCGCCCACAAAGGCCTGAGTGGCATCGAAGCGCCCTCCGACTATGTCCTAGAGACGGTGAGAGAAAGACAGGGAAGTGTTTTAGCTCCGCCACAAACATCACATCTATGTTTAAATCTGGACTGGTTTAACGCATTTCCATTATCACATTGAATTATATATGTTTAAACCTTTAATATTCACTCATTGAAGAAACAATGTCATTTTTTATGAAGATGTGCGATACATTTTTGTTTGTTTTTTATTTGTTTATTTTTTTTAAACCCTAGTTTTTTAAGATTAGATTAAGAGATATTTTATTCATCCCACAGCGGGGAAATTTCAGTGTTGCATCACAAGATACAGAACAGTAGGAATGAGGAGCACACAGCACAGGATAAGCTAAGTGAACAATGACTATTCTAATTAAAATAAAACAAAATCTCTAACGCTAGCATCAAAGAAACAAGTATACAAATTCTAATCTCTAAATATCTTGAACATAGTAAAGAAGTGTAAAGATTTCACATTTGGCAAAATAAGAAGCAAGTATAAAGTACTGTGTATTCTAGTGCAAGCAGTATGTAGTTATATGTTAGCATCTGTACTTGTTAGCAGCAGTAGGTTTAATTATAGGCATTTTCACCAAATGGTTTAAGGCAGTTTTACAATCAAATTGCATCTCAACCAAGTGACAGAGATGCCATAATGAGGTAGATTTTAGTTCCAAGCTGCAAGTAGATATAGTGACTCGAAATGTGATGTACCAAATAGTTGAAGAAACCATTAAAAGGTTAAAGCCTTTTTTGATACATCAAACTGAACCTGTCTGATACATGGCTGGACTCTTTGTGAAGAAGATGCTCAGTAGGTTTGGCCTCTGATGTCTCTTTTACTCTAATTACTAATGGGAATAACCTCTGTACATAGAAAGTTTGCCTCCATTCTCCATGGTAAATATAAAGAAGGGCATAGCTGGTGTCTGTTCCACTTGACTGTGTTATGGCAAAATGTTGGGTTTTCACAATTCCCCTCTCGCAGCTGAGGAAAATGTCACTGGAAATGAAATGTTGGGACTTAATTCAGCAAACCTCTCCAGGTGGATCCCATCTAAACTTTTTAAACCTAGAGACCATTGGTGGGCAAACCCAGGCCCTTTGGACGTATCTTCCAGTCCCCTGAGCCCTCCTCAGTTTTTATAGATATAGTATGGTAAAGGTGCACTTTATTATTCCCCGTACGGCAATTCATCCTCTGCATTTGACCCATCCTAATGCCACTAAGGCTTACGTCAGGAGCAGTGATCGCCGTAGTAACAGCGCCCGGGAACCCATCTCCAGATGTTGATGCTCGGCTTGGTCAGGACTAACAGAGCTGGAGGATTTAACCTAGTGTGCATGTTTTGAATGGCAGGGGAAATTGGGGTACCCGGGGGAAATCTACACAAGCACGGGGAGAACATGCAAACTCCACTCAGAAAGACCCCGACCGGGATTCGAACCCAGTACGTTCTTGCTGAGAGGCACTTTAGTGTTGGCTGATAACCCAATGTGTCCCTCAGGAGGGAAAGTTTGAGTTAGGAGTTAAAACTGATTTTAATCTAAATAAGAGGGACACATCTTACATTTAAAGGTTGTTTATGTTTTATAAATTCTCTGACAATAAAAGTAGAGTGAAATCCACTAAGACATGTTGGTGTAGTAAAGGATTAAAGTGAGCACCAGTCTGACCATCACCTGTGGAAGCAAACAGTGTGCGTCTGTTTGCGTCTGTGTTCGTCTGTGGGCAGTGTGCGTCTGTGGCGAGTGTGCGTCTGTGTGCGTCTGTGTGCGTCTGAGGGCAGTGTGCGTCTGTGTGATTTGGAGAGCGTCATGGATTTTGAAGGACACTCTTGGCTTTCTTCAGAGGTTTCTGCACATGTGTGGGGGCAGCAGACGTCAGGCACACACTGATTGGTCATGCGAACAACAAACAACAGGAAAAATCATTTGGAAATGTAATTGAAATTTAATAGTAATAATGTTTACTGTACTGTATTACTGTATTAAGTACTGTATTTACAGGTGTTTGTAATATAATTGTTGACTGATTACATTTGGGGGTTATTGTTCAAAAAAATATAATTGTTAGTTGTTTTCCTGAGACAATTATCTTATAAATTGGGTATAATATGCCATGGTGGCATATCGGCCGGATGGTAAGTTAAAGCCAGAAGGCAATATTTCAAAAACTTAAAATATTATCTCAGTCTATATATTTGTAGTGAAAAGGACAGGTATGCCAAAGAGATTTCTTTGGTATATCTTTGCCTGCATAGTTATGTAAAACCAAAAAATCCAACAATTCACCTTAACATCAACAATAGAATTTTCCAAACATCTGAAGGAGCCAGTGTGTGTCCCGTGCATCTTGAGAACCGCACCAAACTTTATATGTGAGTCTAGACTAAGCACATGCACCAGTTATTTTGTGAACTTGTGTTTGTGCCAGTGGGAGCGGGTCCTGGCTCCAAAAGGTCCATGAGCATGTGTGCTGACATGCTTGCAATACTCCGGGCCAGTGGGGGTGGACCCGGAATAAGAATTACCCATAGCTTTGGTATGCCGTCTTGTTTAATCAAGAGGGATGGTCCAAAAGTCGGCTCATGGCCCAAAGCTACGTTCCAGATGTGTGTCAATGCTGAGGGGAGTATATTTTTTTGGACCAGTCTTGTTTAGCCACTGTGGACTTCAGGGTCACTTGTCAAATGAATGGGGCTAGTGCCGGTGTTCGGTCAAAGTGGTCTGCCCGTCGAGATGAGCTTCCTCAGCTGTTTATGAAGTAATGCAAACCTGCGCATGCGCTTCTCAGGGCAGACCACTTCAACAGAACACCGGATAACCCGTGCGCAAATGCGTTTTTTCAAATTTTCCTGCCCCCGTGGCCATTTTGAAAGAGCCCATTGAAGCCAAAGGTGATGACACATTAATTAGAACAGTGGAGACGTCTGTTAATATTTACAGCTGCACATACATGGTTTGTGCAGCTTTGCAATTCATTTTCCTACCGTAACTACCTGTTTGATAAGCAAGGGAACATGCTATTTCAGTCTACATTCTCCTTTCCACACATCTACACTCCCTTAACTCTTATCTTTCCAAAAAACCCCAGTGAAAAGTGTGTCTGCGAGAGCTCATGATGAAACCTTGTGGGAGGCTGTTGCTCACTTTCTGTCACCCCTCACTCTCACGCCCTCAACTCAACACTTCCTAAAAATGTCGATAAAATTCCCACTTCCCAAAAAGACAACTGTTCTCTCCTGGTTGAAGAAAGATTACTCAAAATAAAATAACTTATTTCAAATCCCCTCAAACTACGCGACAACACTGATTATTAATTAGGACACCAAACTTTTACCTAGGTGAAAATGAGTTTGTGGATGCGTTGTAAAAGTCCAGAGACGATGTGATATGAATTGATGACATCGCTCGGGGCATATTTCACTGTACATTTAATAATCTCATGCGTGGAGCTGTCAATGAGCTAACTGCTAAAATGACCCGGAGAAGCAGCACCCAAGGGCGTTCTGCAGGTGCTTGTAAGAGCATGACAAACGAGCTAATGGTGAGTCTACGGCTGCACAATATATTGTATTCAAAACGGAACATTTTACAGCATTTGTTTTTTAAATGTATATAATAATTTCATTCACAAACATAATGGTCTTGTAAGTCTTATTTTCAAATGCTGTAGATTTGACACTCTTCTTTAAGAGGGCAAGGTAGCTACTATTCCACACACCTAATTATTCCATTCTGCAGTTATAATATTTGGCTCTGATTCAGTCTTTCCTCAAATATGAAATCTCAAGGTTTAAGTTTAAAGTCTCAGATTCAGATTCAGATTCATTTTATTAGCCATGTGCAGTATAAAAACTACATTGGAATACATTTGCAAAAAAAGGTACTCTGTGTGCACCGACAGAATAAAAAGCACGATACAATGTAATATAAAATACACATACACTGAATATAAAAGAATAAAAAAACAGCTGACACTGTGGCACCGATAAACAGAGTCTGTAACTCTAAATGAATTACACATTTTAAGAATTGTATTAAATTGACCTCCTGGCCTTAAATGTTGATCTAAAATAAGTCATTTTATTAATTCTAATATTACGGCTAAGTCCCGCCTTCCCTTCTCTTAGCTATAGTTCAGAATCCATGATGCCGTCCACGTTAACCAATCAAGTGATGCCAAGGGCTGTCAATCATCGGCGCTGATGCTCGTAGCTGCGCGCAATGATCGGTTGTTTGTTTTCTCGGAGCCTCCAAAATCAAGCCTCCATTAGGGTCTGGAACTTCATAAAAACTGAACAAAGAATTCTTAACATCCGCGCTGAGTTACCTATTTATATACTGAACCTATATCCATAATCATTTATATACTGAACCTATATCCATAATCATTTATATACTGAACCTATATCCATAATCATTTATATACTGAACCTATATCCATAATCATTTATATACTGAACCTATATCCATAATCAGATCCTCTGCAGATGTGTCCTATAATGTTCAATTCATGATAATAGCTTCTTCCGGGTTTGCCGCGATCGTTTTTTTGTGCATTAAAACATTATTTTTGTCATGAAAACGTTAAAAATAATTCTGAAAACCTCTGTGCATGTGTATTGATAATGTTTATGTATAATGTATTTTCCGATTAACATTTAAATGTGTTACGGAAACGTAGGTGTAGACCAATCAGAAAGGAAGGCGGAGGGAGCTTGCTTCGTTTTCTTTAAATCAAGTACCTCTCTCTCTTTTTTTCTGACAAACTCCAGACAATCACTTTAAAGTTCAAATTCAAAAGATACGTTTATGCAAATTGAATCTAAAAGAGCACAATAGTTTATCTACAAAACACAGATATGCAGAATAAGTAATTAGGCTCGTCTCTATTCTACATTCTCATTACAAAAGATAAATGACTTGTCTTTACTTACAGTATATAGAAAAAATATTTAAAAAAGCTAAATCTATTAATTATTTTCATGTTATGGAGTGAGACTTTAAGACTTTAAACCCTGTGTGTACATGGTCTCGCCTGCATCAGCAATCCTCCACACTGCGTTCAACATGCCTTACTTCAGCGTTTGAGCTTTCACAACCCTCCTCCTCCCTATTATCACCACAGCAACCAGCCCGTCTCCTTAGCTACCACCACCAGGGTTTAGCCGCTGGGGCAAGTTCCTTTGTATGGGATCTATAATATTTTCCCTCCTGCATACGCTATGTCTGCTGGTGTTTGAGCGCCAAATCCATAAATGCATTTCATCTACAAATGTCAATAACTATTTTAAATCATAATCTTTGTCTGCCGAGTCTAAAGTGACTAATTCATGCAAAAATTGATATGCAGAACTTGTAACCCAATCAATACTTCTAATACATCCTTTTGTCTGTTTATTTCCAAACTTAATAACTGTTGTTTCATAATTCCAAGACGGCAAGTCCATGTTCACCTGATTTTAGTATGTTGACTGCCTTACACCTAGATTCACCAATGGAATAAGTATCTTATGTATTGGTGTTGCTAACTTGATTCTCAATGCTACACTGCACCCACCTGCTCCTGTCCCAGAATGATGACTCCTCCAGGTTTTATGGGGTGCCACGGGGCCAGATTGTCCCCGGTGCCCAGGCGCTCCCCGTCCTGGTAGGCCTCCCAGAAGCCGTCCCGGGTCGTCCAGGTGATGCAGATGTGATGCCAGCGGCCGTCACTCACAGAGAGAGGCAGCTGTGCCACCTGCAGAGAGGAGGGGTCAGGAGTCAGAGCAGGACGAGAGCCGAGGAGGAGGATGAGGTGAGGGTTACAGAAAAGCATGACAATGTGCTGCTTTCTCCACTCTACTTTAGCTTCAAGGCCAAAAGTGGCTGGTATTTCTGCAGTGAAATGACATATACAATTAAAGCACAGTTTACGTTTGCTTTACAATGAATGATTCAACAAGAACGTATGTCTCAATATTTCAAAAATGAATAAAATCAAAATAAGAGTGCACATTTATTATCTAGATATACTTTACAATATGTGAGTATATACTGCACCAGACCAGCTCATCTTCAATTATGAACATCACACATTTTCACGGCTTTTGATTTCAATTTGCTATTTCTATTCATTTAATCAACTTTAAGCATTTATTCCGCAAAGCAAAAATATTGTGGAGATTGACCCTGTGCCGATCTTTTTTTTAACAGTAAAATTTTTGTTACTGTACATAACAAAAATGAATTACAAATGTTTTCATTCTAAAGACGGTACAGAACCAAAAAGGGGAAAAAAAGGGGAAGAAAGACGTCGTCACTAAACATCTGCTGAATGTTATCACCTCCAATATAACAAAACCCCACCATAAGTACTAGAATAGATGATAACATACATATTTATACATAATGTTTTGTCCTGTCTGAATGTACAATGAACACAGCTGGCACTTGTCACAGCTATTGTTGTCCACATGCTGCTTTCTACACACACAGCTTTTGTTATGAATAAAAAACAATTTGATTTTTTTCTGCGTCAACTGGATCATAATTAAGTATCTAATTTTAGTTTATATTCTAATTATTGTGTGCTTTCTACTAAATGACGCACTGCCTGCATTCTCCAGACTGTGGAAAAAATATTGGTTCTCTTGAGTCACTTTTCATCGTATCCGTAAATGTATTATTTTATCTTTACTCTAAAATATTGCGCCGAAACAAATGTAGACAGAGTATGTTCGAGTAGAAACAGCGATATTAGTTTATTAGAGTGAAACTGTGGTTAGGCTGTGGTCTAATTGAGGAGTGGTAGCGACCTGGGTGGCAATTATGCTGCGGGGGGCTTCAAAGCCACTAGGCCTCTCGTTTGTGAGCGCTCCAGCTGAGCCCGTGGACCCCACATGAGACGCAGATTACCCAGGTGACATCAGCCCTTCCTTCAAAGCGCTCTGGCCCAGATCAACTGTTCTGGGAGCTTTGTTCACGCATCAGAAAAAAAAAACGGTGCCGTTATTTTACCAACGAGGAAGTACTGACCACAGCGCTTTGGGGATAGGCCGATACTACAGCTAATTATCCTGTTATTAATGATGTAATGGAGGAAAATAATCTGAAAAACCTCGAGGAACAAAGTAATAAGGCTTTTGAAGGTTATTTTTTAAGGCAAAGCTTGTTTACTGGTTTTGAACAAATGAATTTGGGGAGGAGGATGCTGGTGGTTGTCCTCAAGGAATTGTGGTGTTTTTTGGAGAAAAACTTTTACCGAAACTCTCATTTTGGGTTTTTAGTAAATTGCATTCTTGTCCAATCTTCCCAATAGTGCGACAGCTGGGATAGTTTGCAAACAAAGAGCGTGATAATAGAATGCTGTATCCACAAGGCAGCTACAAACCACATGACTCATTCATTATTCAAATGAGAGCAACTGATCTCATTTTCACAAAGACACTTTTACACTCACTATGCAAATAAAGTTGTGCTTTAAAGCCTTTTCATATTTCCCTCTGACAAAATAGACTGGACACATCACACACACATTTACAAAATGTAATAATACCAAAGTTATCGTGACATTATTCTGGAAATGTCAAACTACAAGTTCTTCTTATTGCATTATGAATCCTCACACTCCGGCCCATCACATATGTTTTCCACTTTGGCAATGATACTATGATTATCTTTCTATAAAGCAGTGCAAATGGTATTTAACTAGGTTTAATAACATTTAAGAGCACTCGCATGTATATTAGTTTAACCTCGTCCATTTATTCATATCATTCACTACAGTCGGGCAAACTCAAGGCGATGTTAACTTTGTTACCAGTTATGTGTCTTTCCTTTGGTGTTCTTTTATCCCTGAGACCTGTGTGGATGAGTGCATTTATTATTTGAAAATAGAAAAAAACATAAATAAAAAGACTGGCCTGAAATGATTGAGTTTTCTCCTTTTTGGCATGTTTTCTTTTTCAAAAACTCATTGTGAGCAATTTCGCAGTATATACCAGTATACACCAGTATATACCAGTATATACCAGTATACACCAGTATACACCAGTATACACCAGTATATACCAGTATACACCAGTATACACCAGTATACACCAGTATATACCAGTATACACCAGTATACACCAGTATACACCAGTATATACCAGTATACACCAGTATATACCAGTATAATGTATTGTATTGTATTGTAAATGTAAATTGTAAATATACCAGTATGTGTCAGTATATTGCAGTATGACAGAACTCATTTATGTGAACGTTGTGTCTGAATCAGGGCCAGTGTGAGTACAGCAGCTCAGCCGCTGGACTGAAGATAGAAATAGAATACTGATGTCTGAATCGTCAAAACCACTGGCCTTTTCCTGTTTTATGTTTGACAGTAGGCTACACATGTGAAGAGACAAGCAGAGATTTGTGGCATTCATTTTGCCTATATTTAATCGACAGAAGCTTTTCATTTTTCAGGGTTTTGTGGTCATAGCTATTTTTTGCAGTGTAAGGCAGATTGACATAACTAAAGATTGTCTTAAAGCTTATGTAGATAATGTTCTAATCGGCTTTAAGTATAATCTTTGACTTCTTGCTTTTTGCTAAATTGACAGCTCTCAAAGCAGGGTCCGTCCCAATATTACACGGCTGAAAAAAAGCACTTTTGGCGCACTATCCCTCTCTGCAATTGACCCATTTACAGCCTACGTCATCAGGAAGTTGAGGAGACACCAGCAGGATGCAGATGAGTGCATCAAAACATCAGGTCGCTGCATTAATAATTGTTTTAACCCCAAATACTGAACAGGGACTTCAGTCCTAGCATACCAAGGACTCGACTCAGGGGCCGACTCAGAGAAACATTATGTTGGGGCCGATGTGACCCAAAATACTTCCTGTGGCCCAAGTAACTACGAGTAACTATAAAGATATATTTCAAAATAATTAAATGTATGGATGGATAACTGTATGCCCACTTGCATTCAGTCAGTGTTGATATATTGTAGTAATATCAAAAACAATTAATTAAAATTGATGTCTCAGTTAAATCACAATTAATCACAATTAATCCGACATGTATAAACATCCCTTGTTTGAAAAGGGATTGGATTGGAAAAGTCTTATATAACTCCAATCCTCTCAAAAAAAAAGTATTTGTAATATATATAATGTATATATTATGTAGGCTACTCAATCTCTGCATGCTTTTTTATTTCTTTTTACAGTTTATAGAACTATTTATCATAAAATTACTTAAATTGTTTAATAAAGGCTACTCTTTTATTTTTTCATTCAAGTCAGTTTTTTTTCACAGTGTATATGACAATAACACGCAGTGGAAATAACTATAACTTCAACCTTTGGTCTGTGACCTGGAGATAGTTGTGACTGATGGACGTCCAGTTATCACCTGAGCTTTTGTTTTCTCCAACACCTGCTGTATCTGCTGTATCTTAAGCGTTTGCGTTTTTTGTGAAGCGGCACACGTAAAAGACGACAGGTACGTGCCCGTGGTAGCAGCCTGGAGCAGCACAACACATGCTGACGCGCCAAGCGGCCAGCCTCTCGTCAGCCCAAAAATAACCCACGCATATTTTTGCTGCACAGTGACATGGCTTTCATTCAAAATACACACTTTAATTGCTCAATTAAAAAAATGAACGCTTTTAAAATGGGTTTTGCCTTAACGGTTAGTTGTTAACGTGTCTAACTGACAGCACTAATACATTGATATATGCACATGCTTTAGACATAATATATTTTGTTTTAGTCCACTATCTCAATAACTAATAACATGCAGCAACGAAGAATCATTCATTAAAAGCACGGTGACTGGTTATTAGCAGCACTGTCAAATGCAGCAGCACTAGACACCGGTGATGGTCTTTCACACACGAGTTTGTCCGACAGATTACACATGGGACACTAATGCCCTGCAAACCCAGAGCTCCAGATTACACTTTAAAAATAGATTTATTAATAAAGAAATAGAATATATTGTTAAGCTCACAAGCAGGATCAAAGCAGCCTTTCAGCCTTAAAAAAATATATATTAAAAATCCAGAAACACTGAACTTTTTAGAGCGTTGCGGCTCTTTCATCCTGCTCCGTGTGCATAAACAATCTGCCCCCCTTGGACACAGTTACCAGAGCCAACAAGTTCACCACATTTCATATTCACTTATCCAGCCTCCTGGTCAGCCGTCTCAGAGCATTACAACTTCCTTTTTATTCGGCCAGCACCTTCTCATCTCTTCCCATTCGCGCTCTCCTCGGCCCCATCGCCTCAAAGACTTTTTCCTTTTCTGCTTCCCTCTCTCTGTTCTTTTCCTGCCGCCATCTTTCTCTAATCTGTCTGACTTGCTCACATGTATAATGCATGTTTGGAGACCTGTGCAATGTGCCAATGATTCCCAAAGTAAATACGGTGTTGAGGAAACTTGCCCCATAAAAGGACCAACATCCAGCCAACTCTGAGTAAGGATTTGTGTAATTATGTTTGAAATACATCACATCTTTTTGGACCAACACCGACATGCTGCAGGCAACTTAACAAAGGAGTCATACTTTGAGTGAAGAAATGCATCATAAAAACATTGTGCTTAATGATCATACTGACTATAGTTGTGCATGAGATGCGGAGGTGTTAAAAATGCACTGTAATTCTATCCTTGTTAATGTTTTCTCAGCTTTGCTTGCAGTTTTCAGCTGTTGAGTTAGGAAAAGGCAGATGTCAAACAAACCTATTCTAGGCACTTTCTACACAGAGCAGAAATACCCTGATAATGACTTTTCTTAAGTGAATCAATGTCTAATGTGGGTCAATGCGTTGAAATCTTAATAAGGAGCAGAATTCTTTATTCAGAGCATTAGCCAGTACAGCTCTATGCCAGTGTGTACATATTGACATGCAGCAGCGAGCTCACATACACTATTCATGCTCTCCTCGGTTCTCATCGGCAAAATTTGTGCTAAATCACTACGTTCCATTAGCTCCGATACAGAATGTACTGTAAAAGCAATTGTTTGAGCAGCAGCGTCGAGATAAAAACGTTGAAATGAACAGTCCAGATAATGACTTGGTATGTAAGAGAAAGCATGATGCAGATGATGAGATATGAAACATTTACACGCTTCCTCTGCCTCTTGTGAAATTAGAGCACGTACCTTATCGTTTACGAGTAGCTCGATCGGATTATTTCCCCACTCGATGAGGACGATCTCGTTTGCCTGCCCCGGGACACCATAAGAAAAGGGGGTTCCAATACCAGGACTGGCGCTGGACTTGAGCCACATGCAGACAGTGAAGGCGTACATCTCTGGAAGACTCTTCTTAATTCGTCCATAGAGATAATTAGTACGAAGAGGAAGGGACACTTTGAAATCCTCAGGTGACTTGAAGGCATTGTTATCTGTTTATAGACAAGGGAGACATAGGGTTAGCCTGACGCACAAAAAAAAGCTTTTCTTGTCCAAAATAGTACATTTTCTCTATTTCAGACTTTGTTACAGAGGCTGATTTTGGTCTTAGCACTGGCAGGTAGCTCTCTCATATCCAGACTTAGAATAACAGAAGTGAAAGCAGTGCTATTCTGTGGGTCTTTGTGGGTCTGCTCATATGCACCTGCCGCTGTTACTGCAGTGCTATCATTCATCCAGGGGAAAAAAACAGACTTCAAGCTGACAAATCACATCCACAAGTCCAAATTCAATGTGAAGAGTGCATCAGCCTGCCTCTGACACAAAGTTTGATTGTAATGGAACGCAATAAGGCCCAGGGAAATGGTATTCTCGCTGAATATATGCAATACAAAAAATGAGGTCCTGTGGGATCTCTCGCACTATTCCCCGTGCCACTCAAATGGAAAACACTTTTACCCAAATGTAACAAATAAATAGGCAACTAAACCAGGTTAAACTACCTTTTACCTTTATCATAACTTGGACTACCAGCCCCACTACATTGACCTACTCTGCACACACATAAATCACTGGTGAGTTATAAAGACGTATCATTCTCATTTAGCTTTGATAATCACTGTTATATTCTCTTATCTCCTGAGAGTGTGCACATCTCTTCACTCAGATCAATATATCAATATGTTTTTATGGTAAAGTTCAGTTTTCGGGCAGTGTGCAGAGTTTGGAGAGTTTGGTTAATTAATTGATAAAAGATGGATATACTCAAATGTACCCAACATTAATACACCCAGCAGTTCAATGTGTTGAGTTCCAAATGTTTGTAAACCTCAGGAAAGTAGGAGCAAAAGTCTAAGAAGTGTCCTGTCCACCGAGGCATGAACAACTGTAAAACCAGGGAGTCTTTTAACGTTCTCCTCCTTAACTTTCTCATGTAGCTCTTACTTTTCTCCAGTTCATTGATGCGCTCCATGAGCGTGTTGAGAGCGATCTCTGTGCGCTGCCGATGTGCAGCGGTTTCATTGTAGAGCTGGCTCTTCTCCTCTTCCAGCTCGGCCACTTTGCGCAGCAGCTGAGTCTCCAGGGCGCCAAGCCGCAGCCGGAGCACGTCCCGCAGCTCGGGAGGCAGCGGCGCCAGAGCAGACGACACGGTGTTGGTCAGAGACATGCTGGAGTTTGGCAGACGGACACTCTGCTGCTGCAAGGCAGAAGACAGACTGTAAACTGCACTTTGAATCACACTTTTGTCACAGCTCATTTATCTGACACGCTAATACAAGGTGAATGCTAATCAGTCTTTGGTCTCCATGTCCAGACTCCTCTAAACTAGCCCTGAAGTCCAACAACTGAACTGTTCTTGGACCTTTAAGTCTCTCACAGTCTCCTGGGAGAATCACAAAGGTACAGATTTTAAAGATAATGATTTGACTGGAGAAACTCCCAAAACAAATGTAGAAGTGATGTTGTTGTATTGTTATTTCAAAACACCAGTGTTTTTAGCTTTATACCTGCAAAAGCACAAGTACAAAGCTCCTGCACAAGTACAAAGCACCTGCACAATGCTGCATCAGGCATTAACATGTCCACGACAGATGAGACCCCCATCAGAAAAGCTGCATATTTTACCTTTCAAGGAACTCAAATTTTCTTTTTAAATTTCATTTTAGTCTGAACCTCGACACGTGGAGCACATGAGTCACCTCAGTTTCAGAGAGGTTAAATAAAAGAGAAAGTGTGGACGTCCCACAGCAGAGATCATATTGTTCGTAATGTTTCACAGGAAAAAACTATGTATTTTTTGTTGGATAAAAAAAATACATGTTTATGATGTGTATTTTACATCAAAACTTGAATGCATCTTACTGGAACACGAACGTGCATCAGTGAAAAAAGTAATTGTTACTTATCGCTTGTTCTGTTGCTCGCAGGAAATTGCATGTTCCAAATAGAGTGTAATTAAGCCTGAGAGGAAATGACACCTCACCTTGGCTCAACGTGAAACAAATACAAAGTGAAGAACACATTAGGTACAGGAATACTTAGTTTGAAAGAGAATAATGTGAAGTTAAATATAGATACAGAAATGCAAATATATAGTTTTTTACTTGAATGAAAGTTTTTGTGCGAAGATGACAGGATTTACATTGACAGCGTTGACCCCAAAGCCAGTTGCAAATCCCTTCGGACACAGTTTTGACAGAGCTGTGTCCAAATGAAGACAGCTCTCTGCAGAGGACAGTGACTGGTGACCGTCCAAACCCCCTCGGCTGCTCAGGTATTAGAGCGAGGTGCCACGTGACATCAGGCTGTCATCAGGCTGACATCAGGATGACATCAGGCGTACAGTATGTCCTCTATGTGAACGAGGACGAGGGATCCGCAGAGAACGAGGATGAACTTCCGTGTGACACATTACATTCAAGATAGTGTCACTTTATGTGCAGAGAATATTGACTGTCACTTTATTTAAGTAAAACAGATGTTTGCAGAGATTACTTTCTGGTTGTTCATATCCTGTCATTACATCTATCTATTCATATTTGATGACAATGAGAATTACAACAAATACATTTTTATTCCATTCCATTCCATTTTCTTCCGCTTCATCCGTTGCCGGGTCAAGCAGAGATGCCCAGACTTCCCTATCCACACACACTTCCTGCAGCTCGTCCGGGGGGACCCCAAGGCGTTCCCAGGCCAGCTGAGAGACATAGTCCCTCCAGCGTGTCCTAGGTCTTCCCCGGGGCCTCCTCCCGGTGGGACGTGCCCGGAACACCTCCCCAGGGAGGCGTCCAGGAGGCATCCTGAACAGATGCCCGAAAACATTTATATATAATTAGCATTTTAACTGAATTAACAATTATAATTTAGTTCCAGTTAGGGCTGGGCGATATGATAAAAAAGTAAAATCTCAATTTTATTTCCTGCTTTGGACGATTTAAATTTTTAATTGATTTTTATTAAAGTCACTGAAGACTGACTTTGCCCTTAAAAATATGTTTTGAGCTTTCCGCTCAATATTCAAGTTTCAAAACTATTTCTAATTTGTTTCCCCTAATACGTATTATAAAAGTCTTATACAGACTGTGCTGATATTGCAAATATGATTCATGTGCTGCTGGAACTCTCTCAATATCCTTCATTCGATTTCACAATTTTAACACTTTTCACAAATTCAATTTTTTCAAAAGCCGATGAATTGCCAAAATTCGATTTATTGCACAGCCCTAGTTCCAGTGTATGCAAAAACCTTTTGTCAATTAGCACATGCAGTTGGTTTTCTAAAGATAGATGCTAAAGATACAGATTTTATACTGCTTCTTTTTTTGCTCGTGTTAGAGATATTAGAGTTATTATTCACTTATCTTGTGCTGCGTGCTCCTCATTCCTACTGTCTGTAACTTGTGATGCAACACTGAAATTTCCCCACTGTGGGACAAATAATATTTTAACCTCTTAATCTTTGTGTTTTTGATCCACTATCAACGAAGTATGAATGCTTTGACATCAGCTCAGACACCCTGTTCCAAGTGTGAGTTCCAGAGTGTCCAGCAGGATCATGATCAGCATCTGCACCTTTTGCAATCACTATTATGTTAAGCGTATGCAGATCAATACAGATAAAATGCAACATAAAAACTCCTGGTGTTGCGGAGGAGGCCTGATTTGATCTGGGTATTACAAGCTCTTATCACAAAGAAAACTGCTCTAAGATATCAAAGGTACAGAACAAGAACAGCACATTTATCAAAATAACCTTGTGTTGAAAAGCAGTATTGTTGTCTTTCTTGCATGTGGAGGTTAAATGTAATGTACTTGGCCTGGGCGATGCCACTGTGATAAAGCCGCTGTTGAAAAGCTGACCTCAATTCATGAAAATATAATCTTTGGAATTAGCACGCTTGTCAAATCGACAGCAGAGACCAAAAGAACTCTCTGATGGCTTACGAGATACACATAATTCAATTTACAGTTTCATTGAGGTGAGATTTGAGGACACCTTTTGTCATCAGCAGCAAATTAGTCACATAAGTGCTGATAAAACATATGCAGATGTACACATGCACAGAGGCTCATGCATTATTCAGAGTTGCTCAGTGAATCCTCACAACAGGCGTAAAATGCACGTTCCTGACTAGATGTGTTATCGCAGCCCTCAGTAAAGACTAATTATATGAGCTTATCCTGCTGTGATCGGTCCTTTAAGTGACCCTTTGATCTCACACACATAACCCACTGGTTCACACATGTTTAACACACATCTGATGCTGTCTCTCTGCCTGCTGTTTGGAAGCTCACTCCATGCTTGGCCAGAAGAGGCTTGGAGCAGGAAAGCGTGTCAACTTGGCTTTTACACGTGTGCCTCAACATTTGGCATTATTGATGTCACCTTTTGGGACACGTTATTTTGAGTATAGTTTGAGAACATCAATGATATAACTGGATATGTGTCGGAATGATACATTTCACAATTGCTGCTATATTCTGCTTATTTCATGGCCCCACGCTTACCTCCAGGCTCTCCAGTCGACCCTTGAGACTCTGCATGGTCTTGCCCAGCTGGTCTATTGTGTCTCCGGGGTCACGGGGCAGGTCTCCCATCGTGTTCTTGCCGTAGTCCTTACGTCTGGAGCCCTGACCCCGGGTCTTGCTCTGGGAGTCGTCTGCGGCCGCCTCACAGCGCGCTAGTTTGGAGTTGAGCTCTTTGATGGTGCCCTGCTGGCTCACTATGGTCTCCTTCTGCTGCAGGATGGTTTCCCGCAGATGGATGATGGTGTTGCGAAGCTCTTCCTCTGCGGAGCTGCTCGGGATGCGGTTACCCGTGTATCCATAACCACAGCCCGGCTCTGCGCCTGGAGGAATGGCATTGCACACGAAGCGACTACCTGTGGCATCCTGAGTCCGCACCAAGTGTCCACTCACCAAGTACAGCAGCCCAAAGAGAATAAGCATCCCGCCACTTCTTGGTCAAACTCCCAATGAGTGGCTCGAGTTTCTCCTGTTTCTTTACAAAATGTTCACACCTCTTAGAGCTAGTTTTAAGGCTCTCATCAGATGAAGCTGCGTAAAGAGAACAGCACAGACAACTGCAAAAGGAACGACTGATAGAACAGATAAATGCCTCATCCACGAACGCGCCGCAAAACTCCTTATTTATTCCCGAAACTACAATCTATAGTTGAACAATAAACTTTCAGTAGAAAAACCCAGCGCGTCACTCCGGGTTTTAGTTGATGTAAGTTTGATGTTTTTGTTGAGTGGATTCAAATGTCAGATCTCCATGATGTCGAGGGGAAGAATTGTCCCAGCGCAGCTCTGTGCGCGGCTCATTGCAGTGAGCGGTGAAAGACAGCGACGCGGCTTCAGCAGATTATTATAGCGAGATGCGCACTGACGCTGCCGCTCCGGCTCGTGCGCACTCTGCGCGTGCGTCATAATGAACCACAATGAGCCCAAGTCTTTGAATGGACACAGAGAGAGAAAAAACCTTAGTATTCAGGATGCTTTGGCAACTGCACTTGACGGCTGTGTGATAAATGAGCACGCTCCCATCACGTGGTTCTTTACATCCATCTTTAACACTTCACAACTGAACGTTCTCAAGTGAAGCTTTAAGATCAGTCTAGATCCACGAGAAAACCAGGTACGTGTTTTTAGAAATCACCTCAAGTCCTGTCAGAGTGTAATTTTCTCACAATAAGAAGCTCGTGAGTCATTCTTCAATGCTTCATTCCTGTTTAATACGATCTTATTTCTTTTTCCCAGTTTTTTACAGGATCTTATCAAACCTGTGATAGTTATATGTGAGTTTTTAAGAACAGGAACTTTTTGAACAAGGGACTGACAGATGCAGAAGCGCTGCTGATGCACGTCTTTGTGTTTTGTCTCACGATCTGTGCAGATATATCTTCATCATCTCCCCAAACCTCACCCTGACACATCATCTTTTGTTTGGCGTTACCTTCATGTTTTTGTCAAAGTAACTCATAAGCGCCATGTCAGATTTCTGCAAAGACAAAACTTCAAAGACACATGTCACATCAATTTGAATTGTCAGGCTCTTCTGCATCGTGGAGATTTTCCACAACATCAATCAGTATTTACTGCTTAAGTAAAGTGAGAAGCAAAATGAATGGTGTGCGTTTGTTAATAAAGATAAAAACAATATACGGTGGAGAGCTGCAAGTGACATGAAGTATCTCCTCAAAACTCAATGGTTTTGAGGCCAGTAATACAGAGATTTTGTCATAGGTTAACATAGCATATGAAAATTAACATTCTTTCAAACAAACACTTTTCTTTATATTCTAAAGTAGGAGTGGGAACCTCAGGGTACCTCATGATACGATACAATACGCGATACAAAGCTCACGATAGCTATTAAATCACAACAACGATTATATCACGATATGACGATTATCGATGTATTGGTCAGAAATATACTGTTATAGAAATCTTTTAGTAAAGCAATCTGAATAAACACCAAATAGTTATAAGTGTAAGTTATTAACTAATTCTCAACTCAGGGTTCAAATACAGCACATATTGGCATAAGTAAAATGAAAATGTTAAGTGAAAAAATACACTTTATTTCATGATAAATGGAATGGAGATGCGTAATGTAGCCATATATTAAGTATTGATACTAATTTAAAAAAATATATAAACATTAAAAAAAACAAAAATCTTTAAACCGATACTAAGCAAAAGCATATCAATAATCGATCGCGTGAGAAAGTATCACGATACATCACGATATCGATATATCGTCACACTCCTAAAGTCTATTTTTCTTATATTGTGCACTGTAATTTCAGAAAGAGAAAAACAGGCTCATAAATCATTGAATAGTAAAAACACATTTGTGAGATGGGACGTGACATACACTGCATTTCGGGCTCTTCCTGCCGTCAGCTCCTATCGGTCTGTGCGGCTTGAGTCCTGTATTAACGCAGAGTCAGCGAACACGTTTACATCGGGAGCTGACCTGAGACAGGACGGTCCCTCCACGTGTGCAATCCTTACTTTCCTCCGTCACAGCGAGAAGATGACAACTCTCACTTCAAAGTTGATGGGGTTGAGCGGTTTGCTTTCATGTTTCACTGGTAAGAGCTGGGGCTGAGGCAACTTTTGGATCTGTCTTTTATACCCGCTCTTGGCAAGGGTTAAGAAGTCAGTAGGGATTGAAATCTGATCCCTATACTTCCTTTTCCCATCTTAATTATTTTATTTTAGAGGCGAATTCGCAGCCATGCACACTTTCATTTTGATCTAAAACTCAAATATCAGATTTCATCCTCTGGAGCGAAAGATGTTGTATTGGTTATAAGAGTACGAAGCTTTTTTAACGAATTATTTATGATTTGTTTAGTAAAAATACATAAACACACACACATAACAAAGAACTCCAACTGATATACACATACCCTGACCCAATCTGCTCAACTCTTTAACAAAGTCAAAGCAATTCAAACAAGTCTGTCCATAGAAAGTATTGGCCTTTGAGCCTGAAGGTCATGGGCTTGAGTCCACCGCAAGACCTTCTCTACCGATTCCCACTGATGTCTGCTGTCGTTGTGTCTTTTGGCAAGACACTTAACCCACTTCATCAAACTGAAATTTCCCCACTGTGGGACGAATAAAGGACATTCTTTTACATCTTCTTCAAATTTTATTGCGAGTGAGGGGGCTTCCATCCCACAGCAACCACCACGACAAAAGTGCCTTCAGTCAGCCCTGCCATGAGAACCCTTTGCTGGTCATCGCGGAGGACGGATAGATTGTAAAATCATCTCCCAGAACCATCTCTGCTGCTATGACCTTATCACTATTGTTGGCTGCTATTAGAATTATGTATTTGTTTGTATAGTTAGATGTGTTTCTCCTGCTACTGGACACGCAAATAATTAATCATGTGGGGGATCAATAAAGTATCTATCTATCTATCAGCCCCAGACCTCAAGGAACTACGCCCCTACAGAATTATATGACAAAGTGTATTTGACTTCATGTTGTGTCATCATTTACTTTCCTTCAATTTCAACAACAACAAAACTACACTGAAAACTGTAGCTTCATCAGTGCGGAACTAGTATTTACAGTTTTTCTCAGTCGCTTTGGTGCACTTTTCACATCCTTCTTCACATTTGCACAACAGTTAGTGCATTTCTCAGAACAATTAGTGCAAACTGCAAAACCTCGTGGGTAACCTGCAAAAGTGCGTCAGTTTCTCAAAATGAAAAGTTTATTCCTCAAAAGCAAGTCTTCATGTCAATGAAATTGTCTGTGTCGTCAAAATAATATGTCATAACAACATTGAGTATGAACAGTCAAATGGTTTAGTCATGTTTTCATTGAGAAAGTTTACTCTCTCTGTGTTTTCAATGTAAAAAAGTCAGATCTCTGTGACACTTGAGCACAGGTATGAGCACACTATACACAACCTACAGTA